ATTTTCTTTGATCAAAATCACAGTAAAAATTGTGAATTTTTTACAATTTAAAATAACAGCTTTCTATTTGAATATAGCAAAGTTGAATTTTCAGCATCATTTCTCCAGTCTTCAGTGTCACATGAACCTTCAGAAATCATTCTAATATGCTGACTTGCTGCTCAAAAAACTTTTCTTATTATTATCAATGTTGAAAAAAGTTGTGCTGCTTAATATTTCTGTGGAAACTGTGATACAATTTTTGTCAGGTTAGACGCCATGTTTAATATAATGAAACAAGGCTGTGAGGGATAGACTTACAGTCTCTAAAACGGAACACACTGTATAAAGCTCCTAGATCACACCTTTCAAAAGGTGTGATCTAGTGTGACCTTTTTGGTTTTTGTCTCCTGAAAATAAGCTGAACAAGCGGTATGTTGTGAAGCAACAGCACAGTCCATTGAACGCACTGTACTTCTATCCCTCACAGCCTCCTTTTCATTCCTGTCAGAAATTAAACATGGCGCTAACCTGACTTAGGTCTATAGAAAGATCAAAGTAACTCTTGAAATCTTTTGCAACATTACAAATGCTTTTACTCTCACTTTTGATCAAAAAAGTATATCTTTTTTTATCTTACCCCAAACTTTTGAATGGTATAGTTTACACAAAATATTAAGCAGCACAACTGTCTTCAACATCAATAATAAGAAATCAGCATATTAGAGTGATTTCTGAAGAATTGTGTGACACTGAAGACTGGAGTGATGATCCTAAAAAATTTTCCATACAGTGAAGTAATCTTATATACAGTCATGGCCAAAAATATCGGCACCCTTGGTAAATATGATCAAAGAAGGCTGTGAAAATTAATCTGCATTGTTAATCCTTTTGATCTTTTATTTAAAAAATTCACAAAAATCTAACCTTTCATTGGATAATAAGAATTTAAAATGGGAGGAAATATCATTATGAAATAAATGTTTTTCTCTAATACACATTGGCCACAATTAACGGCACCCTTTTATTCAATACTTTATGAAACCTCCATTTGCCAGTTTAACAGCTCTAAATTTTCTCATATAATGCCTGATTAGAGAACACCTGCCAAGAGATCAGAGACCATTCCTTCATCCAGAATCTCTCCAGACCCTTCAGATTACCAGCTCCATGATGGTGCTTCTCCTCTTCAGTTCACCCCACTCATTTTCTATAGGGTTCAGGTCAGAGGACTGGAATGGCCATAGCAGAAGCTTGGTTTTGTGCTCAGTGACCCATTTTTGTGTTGTTTTTGAGATTTGTGTTTGGATTATTGTCGGTTGGAAGATCCAAACATGGCCCATTATAAGATTTCTAACAGAGTCAGTCACTTATTGATTTTTTATCTGTTGGTATTTGATAGAATCCATGATGTCATGTATCTAAACAAGATGTCCAGGACCTCCAGCAGAAATATAGGCCCACAACATCAAAAATACAGCAGTATATTTCATTGTACACATGGGGTACTTTTTATCCCTGTGTTCACCAAACCCATCTTGAGTGTTTGCTGCTAAAAAGCTCATTTTTTAGTTTCATCTGACCATAGAAGCCAGTCCCATTTGAAGTTCCAGTCATGTCTGACAACAGAATATGCTGGAGTTTGTTTTTGGATGAGCTAGGATCATTTTTCTTGAAACCCTCCCAAACAACATGTGGTGATGTAGGTGCTGTATGACCATTTTTTTAAAGGGTTTCTGACCCCGAGACTCAACTATTTTCTGCAATTCTTCAGCTGTGGTCCTTGGAGAGTCTTTAGCCACTCAAACTCTCCTCCTCACAGTGCATTAGGACGATATAGACAAACGTCCTCTTCCAGGCAGTTTAGTAACATTATCTGTTGATTGGAAAGTAACATTTTCTGTTGATTGGAAATTCTTAATTATTGCCCTGATGGTGGAAATGGGAATTTTCACTGCTCTAGCTCTTTTCTTAAAGCCACTTCACTAATTTGTGAAGCTCAATTATCTTTTGCTGCACATCAGAAATATATTCTTTGGTCTTTCTCATTGTGATGGATGATTAAGGGAATTTGGGCTTTGTTTTCCCTCCTATTTATATTTCTGTGAAACAGGAAGCCATGGCTGGATAATTTCATGTTCATAATCATTATTATTTGTAAGTCGCTTTGGATAAAAGCGGCTGCTAAATGACTAAATAAATAAATAAATAAAATAATCACCCTGGAGTGTTTCTAGGGGTGCCAATAATTGTGTCCAACGTGTATTTGAGAAAAACATTTATTTCATAATGATATTCCCCCCCCCCCCATTTTAAATTCTTATTATCCAATGAAAGGTTAGATTTTTGTGCATTTTTTAAATAAAAGATCAAAAGGATTAACAATGCAGATTAATTTTCACAGCCTTCTTTGATCATATTTGCCAAGGGTGCCGATATTTTTGGCCATGACTGTAGCTTTGCAAGCTACAGGAAGTAGCTCTATTAGCTCTATTTCCTCTGTCTTTCTTGACCTCTCTCTGTCTCTCAATCTCTCTCTCTGTTTGCTCTATAACAAAATAACTAATTAGAGCCATGAGCAGCGGGCCAATGCGAGTAGGGCTCTAAGATCTCCCACTTCCAGGGATTCCTAAGCAGCAGAGCTGATCTGCGTCCCCAAAGCCCCTGCACGCATCAGTCATCTCCCTGCCGCCCGCGGTGGATTGTGAGTACACATCAGCGGCAGATTAAATCCTCGGCTCGACCACGGGGCAGAAATGACATGCATGAAAGGACCGAGACCAAGCACAACGGTTCGCAGAGGTCTTAATCCAAAAGAGAGTGTGTTTGTTGCATGACTGTTGTGACGTCCAATGCTATTGCATTTATTTCAAACGGATGCTTGTGCTTAAAGTCATTCCAGAGGACTGGGAATGCTTTGGCAGGAGCATTTGGGTTAAGATTCACGACTTTGAGGCCCTCTCGCCACTGGGGCAAAAGTTTAACTGTTATTGGTATTGGGTCGCCTCACCATGACCACAGTGACCCCATGGGGCCCCAGGGCTTTCATAACATACTGTGTGCAAGTCAGATGTCGGCAGATCTTAACATCTGTCACTGTTCACAAACCAGAAAAGGGCAAGCTGAGTTTATGAACAAATATACTTGTCCCAAGTGACTGGCTAACCTACTGACCTACTGTCTGGATGTGTGGTTACTGTACAGTCATCTCAACTTTGTTACCAACAAAATGTTTTCATATTTTTATAAAATATATTTTTTTAAATGTTACTGTAAGAAATAATAAAAACTATTTTACTACTATTTACTATTTTATTTTTGTGTTCACCGTAAAAGATGTGAATCAAAATCATTGTATACAAATTAAATTTTTAACGGCTTACACATTGATTAATGGATCTGAACAAAAAAGAAGCATCATGTGTTTTAGCGCCACACTGGAACAGAGAACATCTGATAGGATGTGTTCGTCAGACCTCAGACAGGAAACCCAGGTCGGTGTCACTGGGTTCAGCATTTGTGGGAATAAATGAAAGAGTATCAGGTGTGCCGCAATACACACAACGTGTGGCCACTTTATCTGTGTCTGACAGAAGGCTAAAGTCACTATCAGACCATCTTCACCACAGAGACTAAGGAGAGCGGTGCGGGGTTATCTTCCACTCTGATAAATACAGATAAAGCTAAACCTACTGTTTGAGAGTCCCAAGTTTAAACTGCATGGCCATCAGTCAAGCCCAAACCAATAAAACTGAAATAATAATGGCCTTTGGTTGGCAAAAAAAAATGGATTTCATATGTCAACTACAGCAATAAATATTTTATTTTCACATATGGCATGACACCAGTTGGGTGTCCACCAAGTGAAAGTGAGAGGACATTCTGTGCAAAAACAAAAATGCAAAGCTGCTGCTGGCCGATCATTTTGACAGTGTCAAGCCAGAGGTTATGGAGGGAAGGTCAGGGTCAAGCTGCACTAAGCAGCCCTTTTTTTCTGCACAGGAAGACCTTGTCCTTCCACAAACCAAATAAAGGCTTGGTGTGTAGAGCTGGCAGATGTTTCTAACCTGCTCGGCACTGCTCTCAACAAGCCTGAGGAAGTACATTAAAGAGAAAGTTCACCCAGAAAGGAAAATTCTGTCATCATTTATTCACCCTCATTTTATTTTACAGTAAACCCATATGACTTTCTTTTGAAGAACACAAAGGCATTTGAGTATTTTAGTGACTACATTAAGTGGTTGCTCACACAGAATGCATTTTTGTCTCCCATTGCACTACTTTTCTATTCTTTTATGTAAACCTGTACATAAGTAAGTGCATTATAAGTGCAAACCTGTAAAACTGTAAGTGCATTTTTTCCCATTTCACTGCTTGCATCTCACGTTTTTCAACTCAAAAACATGCTGCTAGATTCTTTCTTACTTGCTTCACAATTGTGCTCGATTCTCACACCTTTTTCAGTGTCTCGGGCATGACACACATTCTAATGCTTAAGTCGAAATTAAGCTCAAATTAAAAAAATTGTGTCTTCGATATCTTGTTTTTTTGTTGTTGTTTTTACCATTCCATTGCTTGTGTTTCACATTTTTCAATGCAAAAACGCATTCTATATAGATGGCCCCTAAGACGATTCCTGTACTATATTTAAAGTCTTCTGAAACTATACAAAAGGAAAAGACTAAAATATTGATCAATTGCACATATTCGTCAATGATGCCAAATGCCACTGGTTCCTAAGTACCTTGTGATTGATTGTGATGCACAAAATTTGAATATGTGCATTTTCAATAGTGGTATGGAACACTTTTATTTTGATTTTCACCATTTCCTTTGGTCATCATTCAATTTGATTATACGGAAAAGAGCAGCATGGACATTCTTGTAAATTTCTCTTTTTGTGGTCCACAGAACAAAAAGTTATACAGGTGAATAAATGATGAAAGAATTTTAATTTTGGGGTTCTATTCTTTTATAAATATATATAAACCATCAGGAAAGCCCCAAATAACTTCACTCACCTGTGTTGATCAGCAGCTTCATTATCAGGCAGCTCCATATCACACACATCACATCTTTCTTTCTGGGTTTGGACCTCATGCTTTACATTCGCTGTGAAATCCCCAAGCTTGCTTAAGAACTCCCTCTGAATCAAGCTCTGATGGAAGAGTCCCCCATAGGCACTGAAATCCATCGACATGGCCAGGGAGGATGGCACATGTAGCGATGAGGCCATGGACACAGGCAAGGGCAGCATGCTTTCACTCTTATGGTTGGACGGGATAGAGCACAGCGAAGCGAAATGTCTATCAGCCAGACTGGCCATATTGACTAGACCCACTTGGCTGCTGTCTCCATGGGAATCAGCAGAACTATCGGCAGAGTGGAGCTCGCGGGCGCTGGTGATGACGCTACCTCTGGTCGGGGTTCCAGGAGTGTCCCGGAGCTGCCTGGAGTCATTCCTGGGGAAGCCACCATCATGTTGGTAGTCCTCATCTACCTGCATCATCTCAGTCTTGATTTTATCTAGCAATGGAGATGAGTTACCAAGGTTGTTTGAGAAACTCTGGGCCATGTTTCCTTGGAGGACAGACTGCCCCATGCTCATCAGGCCCTCTACGGCTGCTTTAGTCGGGTTGACGGTTGAAAGACCCACTTGGATGGACTCTGAAGATCTCTTATCGACCATGCTGACCAGTGCCAAGCGATGGCGATGGCCGGTGTCCTGTATGGAATGCTTTTTAGAGATAAATGTGCTCTTAAGGTACTTGATCTTGCGGTCATCGGCATCCTCGGCGCCGTTCTCGTTCATGTTCACGTCCGTGTCGTTCTCTTCAGACGCCTGAATGGTTTCCAAGATCTTCAGACATTGCTCCTCCAAGTATTCTATCTCTAAAATCTCTGCGGCGTAGAGCAGGTCGTCCAGGTCCTCCAGCTTGGCTTGGAGCGTGGCGGTGTAGGCGTACTCCAGAATCTGCTGGAAGGTCTTTGGTGAGAGGAAGTCCAGAGTGTAATGTTGGCTGTTGCGGTGGAACAGGATCTCAAACATCTTACTAGCACATGCGAGCACGGTTCTGTGGGCATGAAACTCCTGGCTGTCGACCATGATGACCACATCACACAATGTCCCAGAGAGGCGCATCTGGTTGGCCTTCTGCAGGAGCGATGTGGGATAGCTGGGGTTCTGGAGGTGGATCGCACCCATTTTAGTCAAATCCATTACATCGACGTCTACCGAACCATCTCACGGATTTGCTTCTCTCCTTGAGTGCTCCTGTAAACGTCATTCAGTCATGTCACAAAAACAAGAATGAGTACAAAATACACTCAGTCAAATGTGCAATGTTCATTCATCTCTGTTACACAGGTCATGTTAATCATCACTCAAACAGGTTAACACAGTGCTTTGAGGAAAAGTCGAAGGGGTGTTGTAGTTGTTGAATCTGTACAAAGGCACAAGACAATTGTCACAACATGTACTTAATTTTATGCAATCGCAGCGCTAGTAGTGTAAAGCTGCCAGGTGAAACTGAACCGACGGCATTCGGCACATGCTTGAGAGGAACTTGCTTTTCTGATATTGTTCTTCAGGCAAGAAACATAATTTGTTTTAATTGTACATTTAATTTTGTATTAACACTCTGGAACATTCCTACAGAAGAGAAGAATAAAAACTCACCCCAGGAGTGACATTTTAATCTGTTGTGACACGTACAGCTGCACTATAAAAAATATGATAACACCAATTGTCTAAAAACAGTTATATATTCTTTACAGATCAGCTAATACCAACACAGATTTTCATGTTTAACTGTTCAATAACAATTCACATTTTTTTCTGTCACAATGACAACTAATAACGATAGTTTAACTAGTATTATAAGCATTTTGTAAAGTCTTGGTGAAGCACAAATGGTTTTGTAAAAAGCATGAAATTATCTTTTTTTTTTAAACCTGTGATAAATCCATATTCACAGTTTTCTACTTTGGACTCAACAAATTGTGCCATTTAATTCTAGCCCTGATCAATAACTGATTAAGTAGAACAGTGTGAATATGGGTAAAACAATATATGTCAAACTGATTATGGGTCTGTCTGTAATATTAACATTTATTAATATGTATTATTATTGTTGTTGTATTATTTTGACAGAACGGACCGTCAATAATTCAAGTGAAAAATATACAAACATCTAACAAAAAGTATAAATTCCTGCAAAAAAAAATGCATTCTGCTATTATGTCAGACCACAAGATTATATTTTGTTTGTTTATTTATTTATTTTGCGCGTGAGTGAAATGCATTTCAGACAAGAGGCATTAGAATTTGTCTTAAAAAGCCTCCGTTGGTGCTAAACACTTCATTTAAGAAAGAAAGGTACGGATGCACCTTGTCCTTCATGACAAACCTGAAAAGATTGAACACTCATAACCTTTCAGCCTTCAAATCACACAAATAACCCGAAACCGTGAGTTAGTTTATTGGAACCACATATCCATCTATCGACCTTTCCATATTAAATTTACGACTATATTGCGCGTGCTAAATAAGACAGAATAAGCAACAGATCCGAGACAGCGAAGACAGTCATGTTTCCTCCGTGCAACAGTCTGTATTCGCAGTCTTTACTGCAAATGCACCTGATTGACAAGTTGTTTTAAGCAACATTCACAGCAGTTAGTTTATAAACGGAACCAATGTCATAACACTTCAAGTCTACGTGTCCCGAAAGCATAAATGAGCATGCATGATCCGTGAACACTCACAGGCGTGGGCTGTATCTTTAAAGACAAAAAAACAAGTTGCATCCTCAACGCAAAATTAACTCATTCTCGCAGCACTTTCACCAACTAATAAGCCTGTATCTAGCCAGTTTCAGCATCTGGAAGGACAATGAACGTTTAACCGGTGAAGTTATTTTCACTTACCTGCAACTGGCGCGTAAATTGAACACTTGTTATTAAGGCATCAACATACTGAGGTTCACAGGAGCCGCTTCACGCGCACAACACTCGCCGTGCGGATTCCAATCATCATCATCACCGTGACGTCAAAGCAATGGCTCGCTGTCTTCACTGAGGCGCACCAAGACGCCGCGCGCACGAACCCTATGATCGTTAGTGCTTTTAGGATGGAGCTGGTGAGGCAAACAGTACTGTGGTGCTCTATTACTGGAATTAAACTAAAACTCCTAATAGTCATTTACATAAGACTGAAAATTAAAGTATTAAGAGCAACTTACAGAGGAAAATACAGCCCGGCATGCAGTCAACTTACACTTTCCTCAGAGTATGTTTAACTTTAAAGAGCATGACTGCATTAAAAGAGCTTAGCTTGTCCATGAATGAACGGGGGGGGGAGCACAGTGCCAATGAGTCTTACCTCATCTCCCACAGTCCTCTTATCTGGAGACATGCTGCTTCATTCCCTAAACGTACAATAACAGTGAAGGATAACCCTGAGAACATCAGAGAGCCGCTGTATTTTCTTGTCTGCTTAATATTGCCACTCATCATCACAGTATGTTGTTTTCAGTTTTTGCAGAAACAGTTGAAGCACAAATACGGATGGCGGATGAAATCGTTTCATTGCATCTTAATGAAGTCGCTACATGGGTCAAAGGACAAGGATGTTCGAGATAATAAAAAGTTGTTCTCAGTGCAGTCTAATATTTATATCCATACATTTTTGAAAATATTCATGTTAAAAAAAGTATTTAATGACAAAATGCCAAGTGGTGTAACCTTAAATGGATAGTTAACATCAACCCTAAAATTCTGTGGTCATTTACTCACCCTCAAGTTATTCCACGCCTGCAAGAGATTTATTTATTTGTTATTTTTTTATGTTGAGGACAAAAGATATTCTGAAGAATGTTGGTAACCAAACAGTTGACGGTAGCCATTGACTTCCATCGTGTTGGGGAAAAAAACGTATATTAGTCAGTGGCTGCCATCCAACATTCTTCAAAATATCTTTTGTGTTCACCAGGATTATCCCTTGAACTACTAATTTACTTAAAGAAATAGAAATAGCCTACGGGCTCTTGCCAAACTCAACTTTTCATTTTTCAAGAAATTAAAAGTTTAATGGAACTTTTTAATCCAGATACACTTAGACATTATTTTAAGTCCCAGAAAACAAAAAAAAACAACAAATTCAGAAATGGCAAAAAGTTGTTTGCAAATACATGTATTAACTGAATTTAATGCATATTAAATGCAAATAATACATATGTTAGTGTTAAGTATGTTTATATGAAAGCAGGTGCAGTCATGTTGTGACCTCGTCAACTATCATTTGAGGCTTATGAAATAGTGCCACCTGCTGGCCAAGTTAAATTATTGATAAGTAGGTACTTTCTCCTTTCTGTCTGGTTTGGAATTTTAATCAGGATACAATGCATACATTATACATGTACTCCAGAATGACACTTAAAAAAATATTAATAAGTAACCCATTTTCCACTACCACGTCTCTTCCCAAGAGTTTCTTCAGAACCTTTCTGCCATTTTAATTTCCTTTTTGATGACAGTGTTGGCCAATAACAAGTCACCAAAGATTTATTGTAGCAACAATAACCATAGAGGCTATTATTTTGGAGAGTATCCTGGCTACCATATTTGTGGAAACAGATAAACATTCTTACATTTGTTTGTAATGCTTCAAATGAAAGCGAGTGTTAATCTGAAGGCATTTTTAAAACAACACAATGTTGACCTTTACAAATCTACCAAATAAAAACATGTAGAGGAGTTAATATATTTACTTTTAGGTCAGATTCTCTAAGCATGATATTGCACAAACACAACAAACGAAGAGAATCTTTCATGTTTTCATGAGTTTAATTAAAATGCGTAAGAACAACACAATTTACATGTTCTTTGCTTTTCATTATAAAGCTCACCCATTATTACTGCTATTTTATGGGTCAAATCCCCATATACATGAAACGACTTACAGTTTTGGGGCAAACTGGCAGTGAACAACTGAACAACTTGTGTACAATGGGCAAACAAAATTATCTTTCATTCTCTCCGAAACATTATAGAAAGCATCGAAATCATGAAAACACCCAGAACCGACAATCTTCACTATTTCTCCACCAGATTGCCATAAACTGAGGTCGTACAGTTCAGGCCAGTCTTGTTTAACATCAGACATGGGGCAAGCAGACAGTCATGCAATGAGTGATGATATAAGAACTCTTCTCAGAGTCACGTGTCCTATCAGTCCAGTTTCATACAGGACTGTTAACATACCTCATGTTATAAAAGGACAATCAGCGGTTGCTGCAAAGCTATGCAAATTTTCTTGAAGAAAAGAAAGACGACAAAGATAACAATCACAGTGCACAAGCTTACAGGTGACAGTGTGAAACATTTCTCAAGAGGTACAAGGTATAAAAATGAGCAGATATTTTAGTTTAAGTCGATGCTTTAGGAGCATGTCAGAAGAATGATTTAATGTATAAATCCCAAATATTAGAAACACACGATAATTGTAAAAACTGATCCAATAAAGACTTCAGTAGTGAATCAAATGGCTTGTTTGAAATCTTTATCAGACTTTCGGTCATATAACAGTATGTTAAAATATCTTACGATATTTTTTGTCTTCACATAACTGCCATTACAAGTTATCATCCAACAGTTAAGTGGAAATAAAATATGATATTCAACTTTTGTCGCATCAGTCCACAGAATATTGATAATCAAGATATTTTTTGGCAAATGAGAGACGAGCCTTTGTGTTCTTTTTGGTCAGCAGTGGCTTTTGCCTAGGACCTCTCTCATGGATGCCGTTTTTGCCCAGTCTCTTTCTTATTGTTGAATCATGAACACTGACCTTAATTGAGGCAAGTGAGGCCTGCAGTTCTTTAGATGTTGTTCTAGGTTCTTTTATGACCTCCTGGATGAGTCGTCGTTGTGCTCTTGGAGTAATTTTGGTCGGCCGGCCACTCCTGGGAAGGTTCACCACTGTTCCAAGTTTTCTCAATTTGTGGATAATGGCTCTGACCGTGGTTTGCTGGAGTCCCAAAGCCTTAGAAATGGCTTTATAACCCTTTCCAGACTGATACATGTCAACTCTTTTGTTTCTCATCTGTTCTTGAATTTCTTTAGATCGCAGCATGATGTGTTGCTCTTTAAGCATGCTTCACTTTGTCAGACAGGTTCTATTTAAGTGATTTCTTGATTCAACAGGTCTGTCAGTACTCAGGCTTGAATGTGGCTTGTGAAATTTAACTCAGCTTTCTAAAATAATGTGGTTAATCACAGTTCTTTCATGATTTAACAAGGAAGGGGGAAATTAATTTTTAACGTAGGGCCAGAAAGGTTTGGACAGCTTTTTTCCCTTAATAAATTAAATCATCATTTAAAAACAGCATTTTGTATTTACTTGCATTATCTTTGTGTAAAATTACAATTGGTTTGATGATCTGAATCTTTTAAGTGTGACAAATATGCAAAAAGTTTAAAAAACAGGAAGGGGGCAAAAACCTTTTTTCACGGCACGGTACACTCTTAAAAATAAAGGTGCTTCAAAAGGTTCTTCAAGCGATGCCATAGAAGAACCATTTTTAGTTCCACAAAGAACCATTCAGTCAAAGGTTCTTTAAAGAACCATCTCTTTCTTAACTTTTTGTAATCTGAAGAACCTTCTTTCGCCACAAAGAACATTTTGTGAAACAGAAAGGTTCTTCAGATGTTAAAAGTTCTTTATGGAACCATTTAGACAAAAAGGTTCTTCTATGGCATCGTGAAGCACCTTTATTTTTAAGAGTGTATGTAGCATTCTTATTTATTTGTTCTCCTGTAGTTTTTTTGTCTTTTTGCTTGTAATTAGTTTCTTATTCTTTATTAATCGCTGACTGTTTACTTGTCTTCAGTGAGCTTGAGTTTTAAATTTTTTTATTTAGCCTAGTATTAGTTTTTGGTGATATTGACAATGGTGATGAGAATTATGGAATTTCTATGGTATCACAAATTTTGATATCATAAAGACCTTATTTAAAGCAAAAATAACTACTGTGATATATATTGTTATTGTGAAATAAAATTACTCATAGTGATATAAAATTCTGGTCATATCGCCCACGCCTAATCCCAATGATATTGTTCCTTCGTGTTTTGTGTTTTGGACTTCCCTATTCTCATAAGAATATTTACAGTTATAGTTATCTTCATAGTTATTTTCATTGCTGTGAACAGCCCTTTATTCCCATGTTTGGAATGATATATAGTTGAGTAAATGCTGGAATTTTCATTTTTGCCGCAACCTTTAAATGACTACACTCTTAAAAATAAAGGTGCTTCAAAAGGTTCTTCAAGCGATGCCATAGAAGAACCATTTTTGGTTCCACAAAGAACCATTCAGTCAAAGGTTCTTTAAAGAACCATCTCTTTCTTACCTTTTTGTAATCTGAAGAACCTTATTTCGCCACAAAGAACCTTTTGTGAAACAGAAAGGTTCTTCAGATGTTAAAGGTTCTTTATGGAACCATTTAGACAAAAAGGTTATTCTATGGCATTGTGAAGCACCTTTATTTTTAAGAGTGTACATCTAAAGAATGCATGCACATTCACTGATTCAGATGACCACATGCAGTGAAATTACAACAAACAACTTACAGCCACAACAAACACACACAAACAAACTGAGAGAACATCTAGAGAGCATCTAGAGATCCATACTCGTCCTGTGCTGGAACAGATGGGCCACTGGAGCCAGCTGTCCCTACAGCATGTAACCCATCCTGAGGGACGTCTGTGTCTGGTGCCAGTGGGAGCTCTCCATCAATCTCATGTTCATGATTCACTAAGGGCATCGCGACGCTGTCCTGTGGGCTGATGGGATTTAAAGTGGCATGAGACTCGGGCGACTCTAATTCGTTTTCTGTGACTTTTGAGCTTACAACATCTGGTTGGACAACGCTGTGAGGGGAAGGAGGCACTGGGACTGGTTCTTCTGAAGGGACCACTGGAGGAACCTCAGCTTGTGGCTCTGGGGAATCACCCAGGTCTACCAGGAGAGTAACATTAGCCGGGTCGGGAGACGGAGTAGATGAGATGGAGGGTTTGGTGTGAGATTTGGGCGTGCTTCTGTTGGGTGGTGTCATGTGGAAGGGGTTAGGAGGGTCAGAGGGAGGTGCTGTGATGCTGGAGGTGAGAGTGGTGCTCTCGCTAACTGGGCTGCTCTGGCTAAGGTCAAAGGTGTCAGTGACTGTGTCGGAGTTAGAGGGCACA